CGTCCAGCACCCACGCCACATGCCAAGGCTCAGCATCATAACTATTATAATAACACAAGGCGTTTTTCCCGAAATAAATGGCTTGCTCATGCAGATACTGGTCGGAGAACAATCCGCTAAGATGCGTGTATGCCAACGCCATGAACTTCGCCTTGTATCCCGTCAAGTCCTTCTCCTTGAAATGGTTTTCCATGATTTCCAAGGCTTTCATGTATTCCTCACAGGCAGAGACCACGCTGTCGGTCTCGTAATAATATACGCCGTTCATGTAATGGCAACGGGCGGAAAGAAACGGAATGCCAATGGAATCGAAATACGCCATCGCGTTCAACAATTCGGGACGGTTTTGCTGGGCGGAGTCGTTCTTGTAAAGGGCTTCGGACAATAGCAACTGGTAATAATGTCGGTCCGATGCGGACACATACGATGTGTCCTTACAGGAATACAACGCCTTCAACGCGCTGTCGGGGCGGGACTGTATCAGGGTGTCGATGGCGGACAACTGCGGTTGTTGTGAAGACGCAACGCATTGCGCTACAGGAACATGGCGCTGGCATGACGCCAACGCAGCGAAGAAAAACAGCAACCATATCAAACGCCATCTATTCACTTCTCATCTCTTACCTCTCAATTTTCCACTCGCTCACTGTTCTCGTCTCCTTAGAGATTCTTGAGAAATTCTGAATTCCGATGGGATGTTTTCTGACGCTCTTCTCCATGGCCCGTATTTTTTGCAAATATAAAAAAATTCCGTCAATCATGGCGGAATTTTTCGAGAACACGAAACCAGATGATGGCGTGATTATTGTTTGACCACCTTGTCGGAAAAGGATGATCCGTCTTTCATGACAACCCGCATGGTATAAATGCCAGCGGTCAGACCTTCCACGCTGATGTTTTCGAGATCACTGCTTTGTGCGCTTAGCAGCCGGCCTTGAACATCATAGAGTTCCACTGCCATAGGCTGCACGTCGGGGGAAAATTCCAAGTGGAGGATGTCGCTTACGGGGTTGGTGCGGAGGGCGAAAGGAAACGTTATTATTTCGTTTTTTTGAGATTCTAAAGTGCCATTTTGATTTAGTTTCAATAAAAAAAAGTTTATTTTGTCTTCATCATTATACATATATCCTGTAATCAGGCAACCTCCATCATGGGTAGCGAGAACCTGCAAAGGTCTGTGACAAACATCGCCAAGACAAAAGCGCCTTTCCCATATCAGATTGAGATTGGTGTCTGTTTTCATCAGGATAATATGGTTTCGGTTAATTTCTGGTCCAGCACCGTTGTATGATGTGTGCTGAAATGCGCAAAGGTACACGGCACCGGAATCCGTTAAGTCCATTGCTTGGTAATAGGCGGGTCGTTCAAGGGTGTCATTTCTTGCTTCAACAAGGATGCTGTTCGTGATTTCTCCGTTATTGTGACATTTTAGAAACACGGTGTTGCGCTCGATAAAAAAATTCTGTGCATGATAATGATCCCACCAGCTTTCTATGGTCTCTTCCGCGATCAGGTAGGATGTGTCCGTCAAAGGAAGAAGTGTCGGGTACAGTGATTGATCCACATAGACACTGTGGATGGTATCTGAGTTATTCCATTGGTTTTCCTGAACAAGATAAACGCTAAAAACGGGTTCCATCTCAAGTTGTTCATTGATGCGTGTCATTTCCGCTGAGCTATGGGTGTCATAATGGCCAAAATCCCCACTGCTGTCTTGAAGCACACAAAGGGATCCGACATAACCCATACCAGACGAATAATTATGCTCTTTGTAACATTCCAAATCTCCGTCCAAATTGAGTATCATATAATGCAGTTCTGTGGGTGAATAGGCAAGCGTTAACAACACCTTTCCGTTATCATTGATCACAGCCTTTGCGTCTGGGATGTCCTGTGTGTAAACAGCGGGAATATTTGCGACATCTTTTATGCTCGATAGGTTCAAATTGCTGTCAAGACTGGCTATGAAAGGATACATTCGCATGGTGTTCACATCCCAATGGATACCGACAGTATGGAATATATTATGTTCTGTATCCT